CGAACAACATTTGAAAATCTGAAATACGACTTGTAGTTTGCCACAACATAAGGGAGGTAACCCTGTTTGGTTCTAACTGTGGAAAGGTGCTGTAAAATGACTACCGCTGTATCCATTTGTTCCTTTTCTAATGGAGGCGATGGGGTATCCTAGTGGTTAAATCGTTCTCTCGTCACGCCGAAGACTCGGGTTCGATTTCCCACTTAGGTACTTTGTGTGAAGCCCATTTCTGGTGTCCGCCGCTGTGATGTTGCTGGAATATGGCCATACTCACTCACTCACTCCTGTTCCCAGATATTGGCTTGAATTGGAGGCATAAGAGTGTTGTTGTCCTGGTCATATAGGATGCATTGTTTTGTTGTTTACACAGTTGGCCTGAAAGAGCCGATTACTTTAACGACATGTTGCAAGTCAGTCTATTATATGAATCGATAAGCCGAATATTACATGCTGTGTGAAATTGTTGGATACACATCGTAATGTAATGACGTACAAATGGAGGTACATACCAATCAAAACACATTTCAAACTCCCGTCACTTACCTTATTCATTTTGATCAAGGGTATAAGCTTCAGGCATCTTCTTGTAACGTTTCACTGATTCGAGATGGTTATTGCATTGCCAGACTCCGAGTTTCGGTGGTAGATATTAATGTACTGCAGGTTCCATGTATAGAAGGGGCGGTGGGTAGCCAAGTGGTTAAAGTGTTCGCTCGTCACGCCGAAGACCCGAGTTCGATTCCCCACATGGGTACAATGTGTGAAGCCCATTTCTGGTGTCCCACGCCGTGATATTACTGGAATATTGCTAAAAGCGGCGTAAAACTAATCTCACTCACTCACTCATGTATAGAACAAACTCGAGACTGGGTCTCATGGAGATGTGAGACTACAGACATTAATGGCATCCCCACCGAGCTGCTTACCATCTCAATTATCATCCTGTTCATAATGATAGGTGTACTTCGTGCGAATGTATGTTTGTTGGTTAACGCCGCAATCGCAAACGCGAAAACACCAAAGCACGTGCATTCGAACATGTATATGTAGACATACTCGCACACGCAGACGAACACATATCCTCATACGGTGACAACAAGCACAAGGAAATGAACAGGCAATGCACACGCACACGCACACGCACACGCACGCACGCACACACACACACAGACACATGGTTTGTGAAGAAACCAGGCCTATTTTCATCTCAATAGTTTGTCACTAGCATGGTCTATAGTGTTTATGTACATAACTACTTTAACCCTGATCGAAATCCCCAGTCCATAGTCCACTGCCACACTTGTCTGGGTCATTTATCACGTCAGTGGTCAGATGACACATTCTAGCAATATAAACACACGGCTTTGTTAACATCAACAAGACTGTCCCTGGCTTAACAACCACTTCATGCTCTCTTCACTTCACTTCATGGGACTCAGTTCCAAACAAAGGAGGCGGTGGGGGTAGCCTTGTGGTTAAAGCGCCCGCTTGTCACTCCGAAGACGCGGGTTCAATTCCCACATGGGTGCAATGTGCGAAGCCCATTTCTGGCGTAGAAAACATACTAACTCGCTCCAAACAGTAGCCTTCACAGAACACCACCGGGACGTATAGATATGTCACCGCTCACCAGTGGTGTGAAAAATGTTGATCTTTTTTGGTCACTTTTCCTCAGAGTTACTTCTCCGATATTTATCGATTGGATTCAAGATGCTCAAAGAAAATTTTACTTTTATGGGGGGTGGACGACTTCCGCAATCATTAACTCTGAACGGTCTGCCTCTTGGATTGAAACCAACAGAAATGCTCTCTTTGATCAACACGGCATAAAATAGCATATATCTATATCAGTATTGACCCAACAGTTTCCATATTTTGTATGTGACTGCGGCATCTCATGAGAGCTGAGATCCTGGTGATTCCACAGCACTATTTGTTTGATTATAGATCTAAGAACAAGAGAGGTACAGCATGTTCAAGAGGGAAATATTTCTTCTCACGGACTATTTGGAAGGTACATTGCCCTGCGACCTCGACTGTCTTCCAGAGACCCGCTCTCGTGTGTATCGGTTGTGTTTTGGGAATTTATTCGTGATTCCCTGCCTTCACGTACACTCCAACCACATGTACCTCAGACGTGAGGTGACCCGTGAAGATCCGGGTCAGAATGAATCTTCAGTAACCCATGCTTGTCGTAAGAGGCGACTAACGGGATCGGGTGGTCAGGCTCGCTGACTTGGTTGACACATGCCATCGGTTCCCAAATGCGCAGATCGATGATTATGCTGTTGATCACTGGATTGTCTGGTCCATACTCGATTATTTGCAGAACGCCGCCATATAGTTGGAATATTGCTGAGTGCGGCGTAAAACTAAACTCACTCTCTCGAATATTTATTGGCCGTCGCCATATCGCTGGAATATTGCTGAGTGCGGCGTAAAACTAAACTCACTCACTCAAACATCAGGTACATTTCGACCAAAGTTTGTATGTGCATGGAGGCTATGATTGTCAATAGTATAATACAACTGCAGCCCAGTTGCTATGACTAGGGAGAGATGATGATTCCTGGAAGCTAATAGAAAGAACCCGAAAGCTGGAGACATGTATCGATGTCGTATTCTGAATAGTTTCTGTTATGTGGTGCACATTAAACATTACACCGTTTGATTCACTAAAGTTTTTCCAAGTTCCTTGCAGTTTGAACAACAGGTTCTTGTCCTTTAAAAATACTATTCCTATGGCGCCAAATGATATTCCTAGATCCATGAATATAAGCTTTGAAATAAATTCAATTTAATTCAGATCACATAACTCCTAATTAGGAATCCCTACACTGGCCTCTATTGCATCTCGTATTGACTTCCTCCTCTGAGGAAGTTCTCAATAGCTAACCTGGTAGTAAAGGACTAAATCGCATAAAGACCATGGAGCCTCATCGCTATGTTTCATGTGAAAATGCAATTGTCATACTCTCCTCATGCTGTCCAAAGGGCTGTAGGGTGAGACTATTTCTGTTGTCCCCCGCCGTGATATCGCTGGAATAATTTCTAAAGGCGTAAAACACACTCATGCTTTTACAATTTATGATGGTTACTCCACATACTGCTGTCCAGAACTTTTGAAAAGAGAGCGTACAACGTACGAATATGATCTGATTCCTCATATTTAAGCGTATGGAGATCGATTGACATAATAAAGAACCTGTAAAACAAATCGTAGACTTACGGCAATGGTGTGTGTCGGTGCACGTTAACGAAATGCTTGAGTTTGATAGACATAAAAACCTAGCAGCGAAGAGGACATTCAGCATATATTTTATCACAGTAAAATCCGCTCTTATTCAGAATGTGCTCACCCTAGTGTACAGTTTGTTGAATTCTGTGACAACAAAAGTGAATGTACAATGCACAACTTGATTGTATCTGGCTAGATACATAGATAGATACATAGATAGATGTATAGATAGATAAACAGATACATAAAATAGAAACATTTTAAAACAGTTTCAAGTGTAACGTTTCATTCAAAACACCTGATTCTGTTCACAATATCACATACACTCATTTACATAGATAGATATTCTTTATTTCCTCCAACTGAATGAAGATTACAATGTGTGGTAATAATATATTTTACGTGAAATGATTAAGAAAGATTATTGATAGAGTCACAAATGTTCATATACATACAAGTGTTTTAGCAAGTATCGCCATTCCCTTATAAAATGGCTTACATTCATTATTACTTTTGCCCATACATCTCCTTCTAGTTCCATGATACACTCTATTGGACATAAACCAAGTAAAAATGCAGGAATAACATCATAATCTTGATCCCAGATCTTAACAAAAGTTTCTACATCCAGAATATCACACATGGAGTTAGAAAGTTCATTTCTGTCATTCATATTTCTCGTACATGACATAAACACGTGCTTTACAATATCATTGGCGACAGTTTTACATAAGCATTCTCTTGAAACAATTTCAGCTGATCCATAGAATACAAGTCTTGCAATATCAGTTAACTGGTCGTTCTTCTCTGCAGCTAGCATCCAGAGATAGTGTTCATTACTGGATCTTATATTCATATATCTTGACAGACTAAGTCTTGAATTAAGATGAACATAAAATAGATTTTCTCGATGAGATTTAGTAGCATCATTTACGGCATTGGACCAGCATTTCTGACTGATAAATTGACCATTATTGACATAGTTAGCTAGTATATCGTTGAGGTTACACTTATGTACAAGTTGCAGCATATTGAATATCGGGCATTTTCTACTATATACATTGCATGTAGAGCTATCTGTACACATAAATTGACCAAGGCGAACTAGAAACATTACTTTAAAAACACAGTTATACTTTGCATTACGTAACTTCCCTAATAGGTAGAGGGCTCTTTTATCTATGTAATACTGTAGTGGCATGGTGCCGATACAATCCAATACAACAATACTGGGAGTGCGCGTGTGTAGTCCTTGAACTTTTTTACAAAATTGTCGTTGTACAACTTCAAGCATTTCATGCTCTTTAAGAGGAAGTTTACCTGATTCCTCATCACGCTGAACACCGGGGTTCGATTCTCAACGTGTGAAACCCATTTCACGCCGTTATTGCTGGAAATATTTCTAAAAGTTGCGAAACACCATTCTCACCCAGTCTTATAGTACATGAGGGAACAAGGAAGACGCCTAGTCAGAGAGTTATATCCCTTGTGTGTATCAGGAATGGTGTTCGGATTTTTGAATGCCTTCATAATAGGTTTGCCAGCATACAGATAATCATAGGTTTCACAAAAAGACATTTAAACCCACCATACCAGAGGGATTTCCTTCCTTAGCAAAACTGACAGGCTCTGAAAAATTACACCTCATATACACATGAACCCTCGAGTAAGTATTTGTGGTATCGTAGACATGTGGGAAAACCAGATCAATGCCATGTGCTCATTTATCAACATTCGAGACACATGGACAAAGAGGTGGTGCTTAGTGTTTCTACAGATTAATATTGATCCAGTAATCTTCTCATTTGTCAACATTGGGGATGCATGGTCAAAGAAGTGTCTTCCTCCAGATGAATATTGTTCCAGTAATCGTTTGTTCATGCATGGACATAAAATATGAGAGGTGCCGAGCATTTCTTCAGATGTATATTGATGTATCTTGATCCAGGTTTCTGCACTGGTTGTGGCTGAGAATAATATCATTCCCCTTGAGCATGTAATGCCTCCACTTCCCAAACATTACTGTCGAGGTCCAGAAAAGTGACACTATGACACTGCTTTCAGAATGAGACCTTTCTTTCGAGTGTTCATTTCTACATCTGCTCCCGAGATCAGCTTCAACTTCACTGTGAAAGGAATTTTTGTTGAAACACCAAATGTCAGCCACAACGGTGAAGTATGCTCCAAGTCAAACACCCTTAAAACATCATTCTTTGAAATGTCTAGAAATGTAAGTTTCGACTTTGCAGCATCCAACACAACGCCGAATTTCAAAACACTCTCTGCTTTTGAGATTGTGACACATTTCATGTGTTGTCCATGTTTCCATATCTGTTTGCAGACCCAGTCGTGCTTTGGACAGAAACACAACACAATGCACCAAGAGAGTTCGCCAGTTGACATAAAGGCACTTTTATCCAACGCTGTCTCCTCAACAACGCCTGTCTCCAAAACTGGTTCTCTACTTCGAGATTTAATGGATTCTTCATCAAGGCCAGTTATGTCAGCTTCAACCTCCCAATACACAGGTTCATGGTGAATTTGACAAGGTGCTGGAAGAAGCGGCTCGGAACCGGCAGTGCCCCAAAATCTTCGAAATCGTAGTTGGCTGGGCTCCTCGTCCTTTGCAAACGACGGCACGTTGGTTAACTCCCCCTCCTGCACACGGCAAAATCGTGTATTTACACGATGGACACACATCTTAAGCCTGGGGCCTGTGGGAATTAGGAGACCAGTATTACACTCAAATCATAATTTTATTAATTGATTAATCGACTTATTCAGGTTATCAACACTTGAACTATACATGTCACAACGGCACGAAAAGCTAATGCAATCTATGATCCTGAATTCGAAATGACAGTATACCTAAAAAGCACTGTGTTTATCAATGAATTGATTTCAATCAACAATAATGTGCTATTGACTTTTGTCTCAGAAGCAGAGGGCATTATCTGTAAGCTGATACAACGTTTACCATGATCAGCTTTCTATGGTCTAGTGTGTACAGCCGCCATATAGCTGGAATATTGCTGAGTGCGGCGTACGACTTAACTCACTCACTCACTCTAGTGTGTACAGATGAAACAGATTATTATGAGACAAGTTCCTATGCAAAATATGAGTATTTCTTATTTTATAAATATCGACATCACGAATGAATATTAAACCCGGTTTGATTGCTGTTTCAGAAAGACTCATCACCTACAACATTCTCTGGTGATCAAAAGCTACAAAACTTTCTCCGTGGCCAGAAGAAGTTATAGTTAATGTAGAGATACTCACAAACGATGAGAATGTTGTCCAGTCCGTTTCGATGACTGCCAACACAAACTACTGTTCGTTCCAGTGCTGGAAGAATGAATTAAAATAGTATTGATATTGGTGTGTGAATCTAAAATGGGGAGAAACCTCGAATTGCACATGTTGCTGAGGGTAACAACTGCTTCAATTCTGCTAACACAGAAATTACGCTGGCAGTCCCAGGATCAGTACTACAAAACGAGTGAGTGAATTTAGTTTTGCGCCGCACTCGGCGATATTCCAGCTATATGGCGGCGGTCCTACAAAATGACCATAATCAATGTAATATAGTCTGTTTAAAATGATACTTTACATTAGTAATATTGCAACCTTGGGGCGTTTGGACATGTTAAAACCGCCACGTCCCCACGTGTTTATCTCATGAGAGGAAATAGGTTTTAAGTTAATAACCATTTTAGATTTTTGAATTATGAACGTGTATCTTTCGCTTGTACTCAAACATGTCAAATCAGTGTTTGACACAATGAGCAACGTTCGAAATGCCGTCGAAATACGATGACACTGTGTCAGTAATGTCACCTTGCCTAATACCCCTACGCATTCGCTCTGCCCATTCAAGCAAATGTTATTGGCAAATTACTGGAACCTGTACATATATGCTGAAGTAAGGAAGAAACTGATTGCGCACCTTGCTCAAGCTGTCGACATCTTTTTCGAAAAACGTCAATGGTTTCATTCAGAGATATAATTTTCTGTAACAGAAAAATGTATGTATCGATCTAGCCATTCACCACAGCTGAGGTATTAATATTAGCTTGTGGAGAAAAGAAAATACAATTTTACAGCTGTATGTAAGATTTGCTTGCCTTTTCGTATTGACTCAGAAGTTCCTTCTTCACATTTGTTTCTCTGGTAAGTTCTGAAAATGTTATGCATGTGTATTATCTTATGAGTAAAGTATATTTTATGTTCATTATGTTTTATGTTCACTGCGTGGTTTTTCTTAGTAAACACATGAGGTTGAGGTTATCACAAAGATAACCTATACTACATGAGCAAATAGAATGTTCTAAATGAAAACGATGAAAAAAGTCACTTGAATACATACTGTCCTCAAGATCACTGCATCGTTGCTCTAGAAACGGCAAGTTCTTCAATTTCTGTTACATGAAAAATATAGAGCCCAATGTATATTTAGACCTAGATCTATGGACTAGGTCAGGTTAGCGCTCAAAGACCCATTGTTAAATATTCTACGATTTTTTAAAACATGTTTTAACCGGTTATTGTACTCTACTTTATCTCAAACAAAATGGCAGGCCACGCAGAAAGTAATTTGTAGTTCCTTTTATTTAAAGAAATTCTTTTGTTTGATGTAAATGTATTAAATAATACCATGGGCTAGCAGCTAGGATGTAATTTCAACTTCACATTCCAACACATGGTTGTAATAGAAATTCGCTTTTTGTGGAACAGGAAGATGTATTACCATGTCCTTCAAAGACAAAGCATTCTCGGTGGACTGCAACTGTTGTGCCTGTAGGTCAAGTTCTAGAACAAAAGAGCATTCGAAATATTTCAGGTTATGTGCTTGGCATTACATGCATTTTCATTTTGTAGCCATTAACTCAAAATGCTTTATGAGCGTGAATAAAATATAACCTTTTCACATCCATACACAGTCGATAGTACTATTCCGACTATATCAAGAGCATTTGTTTATGAATCACGACAAATATAGTTATTATACCAGGATTTCGTGAAAGGGCTATCGTATCCTGCCCCACCTGTGGCACACGCCTTTAGGCAAAGGCTTGTGAGCATTTCCATACCAATACTGAGTGTCATTAACTGTAAATCCACTTACTTCGCCTTGCAATCCCAATATCTCTGTTCATCTGAGACAGCATGCTTGTGTGGCTTGCCATCGCCTGGAACATGAACAATGGATATATTCATCACTTGAGAGACGACCAAGGGAGATAGTTCTATGGATATACAGTTACTTTATCACAATACATGAGGCACGTCGGAGTAGATGCTAACACCGTTATCAAGCTAGTATCGTTAACATCTACACCGAAACGTCGAATACTAGTATATTGTAATAGAGAAGTCCATGTCCATAGAGCTATCCCAACCTGTTCATCACACTAACCTCTAAATGATACTCAAAGAAGAGACTGAATCCGACTTCCAAGTAAAAAACGTACAAACACATCAAGTACCTCAACTCTTGTTCAGGTTCCATGTTACTGAACATAACATCGACTTACTCTTTCGTTTTCATGTACTCTTTCCTCCAGAAAGTTGATTCTCCGGAGGTAGTCTGAAGAAACAATGGAGACACAACGCTTTGATAATCCAATGTGTGTCGAAACACCTTTACAACACTTTAGCCTTGTTTGTGATTGGGCATTTTCCAGCAGTAGGAAAACCAAGTTCTATGGATAGTGAACTTCTTTAATGCAATGAGTGCGACGTTTCGGTGTAGGTACTAACACCGTTATCAAGCAAGTGATGCAATGAGTGCGACGTTTAGGCTTGACTCCTGAGAGTTTCTAGGACTTGAGTCCTGCCCCACAACGAAGCACATGTGACACATGTGGCACACCTTAGGTAAGTGAGTTTGTTCAAAATTGGCTCTGTTCACCCTGCAGGAAAATGGGTACCTGTTGGAAAAAAGTCCTATGACTATAACCTTCTAGCGCCTAACAGGCAGCTTGGGTTATCCGGGGAATAAAGTGCTGTGCCTTGATTGTTAGAGCTATGAGCATACCTAGTGTGGAGTTTGGCGCTACATAAATGGACACATTATTATTATTTTTAGGTACTAACATCAATGTCAAGCAATTGATAACGGTGTTAGTACCTACACCGAAACGTTGCACTCATTGCAATAAAGAAGTTGACTATCCATAGAACCTGGTTTTCCTTCATCTATACAACTTCTAAAATGCCTCTCAAAGAAATTTTCCAGCAGTATTCCAGCAATATCCTGGCGGCTCATGTTTTGAAGATACGAAGCCTGCTTTAATACTTTTTCACTTAAACTAATTTCTTTTATTGATTGTTTAACCGAAGTTACTCTGAGGGTCTTAAGACAAGCAGCACCTAGGTGGGATGAAACAGTTTGCATAATGTCCTCCAGGACATCGTATACGTTGATATATAAAATCAGGACACCTTGCTATCACATTATAGTTTTACTTAAACAACAGCATACTTCATTCTGAGTATGTCCATAAACTAAAACTGTTCTGTTTGTGTCAGCCATTGTTATAGAGTAAAACATCAATACAAATCCAAAGAACTGCCTTGAAGCGACATTAATTTTGTTTACTCATATGGACTTCCCTCAAGCAGAAGCGTCGGGCAAAGGGAATATATACATATATTACATACCCTCAACTGTTGGGGTAGCATCTGAGAGTGGTTCTGCATCCATTTTCATCGGACTGTATAAACAAAATAGAGACTGCACCGCTCTCTCCAGATTGTTCTGCCCATCCAACAATAGCCGTACTTCATTACCACGCCTGTCTGAAGAAGGCAAAGGTATTGTCAAGTCAATCCTTGACCTATCATGTAAGATCTGCTTCAACTCAAGAAATTCAGATTTCGAACAGTACTGAAGAATTTGTTTCCCAAATTCAACTGCATTGTTCACAGAATTGAATGTCTTGAGCAAACAGCTCAGCTTGTCCTGCAGGACCATTCTGGGCGCTTCCAGACTTTGGATGACTTCCTTCTGCAGTTGTCTGCCTCTCCGGAGCAGCAGAAGCGATAAACTCTCCCGTGCTGCAGATATCTGGTCACATAAAGATGCTTCACTTTTGTCCAAAGCAAGCCCTTGGTCTTTCAGGTCTAAAACGTTTCTCTGTATTTCTTCTGATCTTGCTTCAAGACCCCCCAGGAGAACCTCCAATTCCTTCTGTTCTTGCTGATATTCCTTTTTGAGTTCAACTGTTTCATGGTTCTTGTGGACATCTTGAATGCAGACTAGACATAAGGCCATCTTACAGTTTTGGTCATAAAGCATAAGATCATACTCGTCATGATGTGCACACATCTCCTTTTTCTTAAACTGTGGATAAGGACTGGTTTGGATTTCATCAATGGAGTACGTTGTGTGCCTAGTAAAGCTCCTAATTTGGCCGTGATTGTTGTTGCATTCTAAACATAGGTAGTCGTCACATCCTTCACAAAATGATACCGCTTCTTTGTCATTGTGGTGAAAGTTATGTGTGCATGTCCTACTTGTCTCACTCTTCTCCCATCGTGCTTTGTTCCTACTGGACGTATCAAGTTTGATGTCTGTACGATCGAAAACTGTTGAACACTCAGAACAAATTCCGCTGGTGTCGTTGAGTTGTTCAAAGCAGGTCTGGCACATCACGTGAATACAAGGAAGCCTGTAAATGATGTGGCTCTCATCATGGCGTTGTCTGCATGTCATACAGGTATCTGCGCGAAATGTAGAATATTCAAATTTCTATGTTGTCTTGCATGAATTCGAGCTTTACGCTCATTACATATGATTGATACTAAGCTACAATAAATACTCAAATATGGAGAGGTGTGATATAAGAGACTGCGATAAATGTATAGTCACACTAGAGTACTGTCGAAATAGGAAAAAACTGTTTTATGGCTGTTACTCTGTATCCCTAAACTTTACACAATTGCAAATGACATATGTCGAAATAACCCACATCGGCCTAACTGGGCGTTCAGTGGGATGCGTAATACGATATCCGGAAAAACATGTTTACTTGTAAAATCGAGCAAAACTTAGAAAAAATACGAATAGCTGCTGAAACAATAGATCAGACTATAGATGGCAATTAGGTCGCTCAGCCAGGTATGATGACGGACCGTCGACTCACCTGGCATAAAATTCACGTGCTGCCTACAGGCACAAGGCGTCATCTCAAGGATATTCGATGCGTTTTCTTGTGTGCTGAATATGTCTCATATATTGATTAACACCTGACGTCTTTCTTTCATAAAGTTTATGCTGAGATATGTAAAACAGTATGATACCCACAAAAAGGCTTAAATTAGCCATCGTATTAAATGTCTCAAAATATATAGTTAGCATGGCCACCCGAAGATCGACAGGACTGGATATTATTTGTAAATTGTTACTTCCCAGTTTAAGTCCCTTAAAAGATTAGCTGATATCTCTACTCATGGTATGATGTGATATATGATAAATAAATTATCATTTCATTGTGATCAGAAAATAACAAATAACAGAAATAAATAAATTTTTGTCCTTCAACTACTTCAACTAGAAGAGTCCACTTTTAGATTACAGGGGTGACACTAGTTTATCATTGCATAATCAACAGTCAACAGACCATGAAATGTTGTTTAAAGACTGTAGGCGAATAGAGAACAAGCCCTCAGCCCGACCCCAGCCACAGTCTGCGACACCCGACCTGGTTCTGCTTTTGAGACGACCCCCTATGTCTGTTTGTTTTTATAGTGGTAGTGAGACTCTATGGTAGCTTCATCCTTAAGAGTTTCACAAATAAAAATATTGTTTTGTACGTCAGCTATCGTTTCTAATGAAGCTAAGTCTCATTTCAAAATGGGAATTTAAAAAGTGTCCTTTGTAATATAATATTATCGCACACTAATTTGCATAAAGCCAAGGTCTGTTCAAAATAAGTCGACTTGGACTTAACCACATTGCTCATTTCTGCACTAATCTCTCTTCAGTAAAGTCCTTTTTTAACGTTTCCTATCTCCCTACCACTGAGACTGTAGTTAGGCCCAACTTAGTTTGATAGATAGTTCACACTTTCACATGTGACCTACATAAATTGTGGACATAAATGTGAAAAAACAGTTTTTTTCTAGTCCGATAGTACTTCAGTTTGAGTTGATGGTGGTTTTAGGGGAAGGTGTATATTTTGTACACAGGAACATTGTATTATGCTTAAAAATTATGGGGTGGGGTGGGGTAATTGATATTGTACTTAACATGCAGGGTGGTCACTTACTTTGTACATAATATTTAGATAGTGAGGGTTTCACTCACATTGTACATGCTTCTCCATGCAAATACACACACACACACACACACACACACACACACACACACACACACACACACACACACACACACACACACACACACACACCGGCCATAAATTATGAACGGTCATTAAATGGGAGTTACATGACCTGAATTTATATTGATTGTAGCCCCACACATGAAGACAGAGTGAACGTGGCCATGTATACTGTGCGGAGCCTTCTATACGTTCAATTTCTATTCCGTTATCATGACCATGATGATTCGGGTTAGAATTGGTCTCCAGGGTCTAGATTTTCGAAGCTTTCTTAGCACTAAGATAGTCGTAAGTGCCATACATTAACATTAGCTTACGACTATCTTAGCGCTAAGAGAGCTTCGAAAACCTAGGCCCAGCAACCCATGCTTGCCGTAAAAGCGACTAACGGGATCGGGTTGTCAGGTTCGCCCACTTGGTTGACACATGTCATCCTTATCCCAATTGCTTAGATCCATGCTCATGATGTTGATCACTGGATTGTCTGGTCCAGCTGGAATATTGCTGATTGTGGTATTAAACAACAAACAAACAAACAAACGGGATCATCGTAAATGAATTGTTTTCATCTCGGTGACGGTATTTCAGTCTCATTCTCGTCTAGCTGCGATTAGATACAAAATTGCTGATACGGCTTAAAGCAGCATTTACTCACCCACTCTCATTCTCGTCAATGACTGTAACATCATACTCGCGTTTTCTGCGGTGAGGCATCGTTCAGGCTGGAAGGACTTTGTAATAGCCGCATACTTCTCTTTACATGCAGCAAATTCCTGAAATTGATGTATGAAAACCTCTGAGATGTATGGAATACATGTGTACGAGCTTCGAAATAACTCCGATAACATGTATCAAATATTGATTTGCAGATGTACTAATATATACTAAGCAGCAAAAGAAACGTCAGTTTTGAATTTTCCTTCGCAGAAACGGCAAACTGTAAACTCATGTAATGTTTTGATTGTATATTTTTGACAACATCTCCAACTTTTAATTTATCTGTGCAAAGACATTCCTTCGCAAATTCAGAATTGAACCAAGGAAATGGTCTCAATGATCGCCCCCGTTCTGGCAGACAAAGGGTGACCACAAGACGACAAGAACACCATGTTGTGCGACAGCATATACAGAATCCGTTCATGCAGGCATCCGAAACAGCACGCCAGACAGTGGGAACACACGGAAGACCAATCAGTACTGATACAATACGCCGACGTCTTAACAGCGGGAACCTCCATTGCCGTAGACCTTACCGTGGACCTATCCTCACCCCTCGTCATCGGCGTGAACGTCTACAGTTTGCCCTACAACACCAAAACTGGTGATACAGGTAGTGGATAACTGTTCTGTTCACAAATGAGAGTCGGTACTGCGTATCAACTGCAGATGGCAGAACAAGAATATGGCGACGACGTGGCCAGCGTTACTCAGACCAGTTATGGAAAGAAACTCATGGGGAGGTGCAAGCGTCATGGTATGGGGTAGAATAGGCCTGAACCAGAGAGTAGGTCCTGTGGTGTTCCAGAACCTTGGTCCAAGGAGAGGAGGCGGCATCACAGCGGTGCGCTAGATCGACCAAGTTGTCAGACCCCACGTCATACACATTTCGCACGTCACCGGAACAACATTTCCCAGCATGATAACGCCCGGGCCCATACTGCCAGAGCTACACGGAACTTCCTACAGCCCAACGGTGTCAACATTATGCAGTGGCTAGCCCTTAGTCCTGATTTATACCCAATTGAACATCCTTGGGATGAAATTCAGAGGAGACTGAATAATGTCATACCAAGGCCGAACACAGCCGTTTTATTGCTCCAGGCTTTTCTCAGAGTGTGGTTCAAGGTGCCAATGGCCTTCATCAATCGATTGGTGCACTCCATGCATAGAAGCTGGGCTGCAGTTATTGCCGCTGGTGGTGGTCGCACTAGATACTGAAGTCAAGAGTCAGTGTCAAGAGTCAATCTAAGTTTGAATTCGTACTGACGTTTTTTTGCTGCTGAGTATAGTTTATACGGTATCGACGTGGCTGGAATTATTCAGAATTACACCGGTTAACAGCAAATTCAAGCGTCAGTTGATCAACCGAAAAATATCGGGAGCGTATCTTGTCACTGATGGTTCAAATTTTGAAATTTCCTCCACATATAGTATGACCAGAAATTATTGAGAATTTTAGGAATATGTTTAATTGGATTTTCTAGTATAAACAACCTTGACCAGCTATCAAGTGCTTGGTTTCATTCAAGAGATACAACTCCGTTAATCCTTTTTCATTAGTTTGTGAAGAGTTATCCCCCTTTGTTTGCTTACTAGCAGACGACATTTTCAGTGATCCTCAGTATGGATGATTTAGAGAAGAGGAAGTTGATTGTAGAGTATTTAACAAGGACATCAGATCAGCTAAAGTGATTTCAAGTAGAACAGGCATCCCTTTGTCCACTGTTTAACGTGTTTTGAAAAATATTGCAAATGGATATGGCATTGAGCACCAGGGAGGCGCAGGTAGGCCCAGATAATTGACTGTCGGTGACAGGAGGCGGCTTGGTATTCTTGTTTCTAAAAACAAACGAAGGAGTTTAGAAAACTTAAGGCTGGATATGATTGATAGAGGAACTGTGGCTGTCTGTAAGGAGACAATTAGAATTGAGCTGCATGCAATGGGTTGGCAGAAAAGACCAGGAATTCCATCACCGATCATGAAACCCGAACCAAAGGAGCGAAGGTTGAACTGGTGCTTACAGGATAAGAAATTTTAACTGAGAGAGAGAGAGAGTTCTGTGTGGCTGTTTCCTAATACACTGAAATTCTGGACCAAACAAACTGAAAAACCTTTGTATCAGCGCCCAAAGTGCAATCCGAAATTTAACGTGTGGGGTGGCATATCTGTTAGGGGCAACGCCCCTCTGTGTATTTGAAGGGAATATGAACAGTGAGCTGTACACAGATATTCTCGAGGGACATTTACTTCCATCTGCTCACGTGTTCTATGGCAATGTTTGGATTTTCCAGCAGGACAACGATCCAAAACATCGTTCAAAACATTCACAGGCCTGGTTTCGGACCCAAAATATGACATTATGAGATTGGCAAAGCTATAGCCCTGACCTAAATCCAATAGAACATGTTTGGGGACTTATGAAGGAAAGTGTCAATAAGAAAAATCTGACAAATATTTCTGAAATGAAAGAAGAGGTGGTCCGATATTGGGACAGCATGGACCACGACTTTCTAACTTCTTTGATCAGTAGTATGCCCCGCCGCACTGAAGCCTGCATTGCTGCCCATATGGTGACTTGACAAAATACTAACTGTTCACCTGTCTTAGAATCTGGAGTTATGCTCTGCTAATATTCACATTTAATACGTGAGTAATGAGAGAAAAAAATTAAAAAATATAAATCTTTAAATTCTCAATAATTTCTGGTTGTACTTGTATCTACCATAAAACCTTTTGAAAGTTTTACCGAGGCCTTGGATATTGTAACCTTGATCAAACAACTTCTGTTTGTCAACTTTTTAGTCAACCCCAAATCTTTTATTTATTGTGTAATATAATATCATGCTGTTGTGTTCAAGTTATGTTGGCAAGATTAGCCTATGTTTTCCATGACAATGTCAAAATAAGATATATTGGAGCTTGTTGCTGAAAACACTGCAGCACAATATTCTTTGTATCACTGTGAGTTGCACCCTGTACTTCCACACCCAAGCTCAGTGTCAAGCCAACTCTATATGAATGATTAACACTGTGTTACACTCATAAATTCCATGTGAAACAGACATAAAGTTAGTCTTACCTTCTCCAAGAGCTGTATCCGGGATTGCAATTCCTCCTGGAGAGCAACGCTTCCTTCTAGCGCTTTCTCAGCTGGAACATTAGTTTGCCTGCAGTTATTTAATGAATCCCAGCTAATAAAGCCATATCTGCTGAAATGTTCTATCAGGGATTGCATTTCACCCAGAAGAGTTACACGGTCACTTAATGAAACCTAGGTAATGAAACTGCATCTGCTGAAATGTTCTATCAGGGATTGCATTTCACCCAGAAGAGTTACACGGTCACTTAATGAAACCTAGGTAATGAAACTGCATCTGTTGAAATGTTATATCAGGGAATGCAGTTCTTCCAGGAGAGTTACACGGTCACTTAATGAAACCCAGGTATTAAAGCCACATATGTTGAAGTGCCTCCCTTACTAGGTAGTATGCTATTCACACTTTGCTAAGGATCAAATCATGGATTCAACAGAAAACTATTATGTGGGGTCAAATTTGGTTTTAATGCCAAAGCTTATTTGAAGCATGGATCCTAGGTTTCAGTATGTCATTGCATCTTGTGGATCCCATATCTGCTATTAACATGTGTTGTTTATTTGTCAATGACTCGTTCCATGATTTGCAAAATGGTTGACTGGTGCCATGAAAACCATTTTCATGGTTACTCGTGTATCAAGTGCATAAGCTTAGATTAAAGTGACTCTTTGCCTAATGAGGGGTTACCATATTATTATTTATCCAGTTTTGAATGGATACAACTTCAAATTATGAATCTACGTTTAAGTAAAGTTGTAACGTTTTGTGATCCTTAGCAAACTGTGAGTAGTATATATTAAATCAGCAATATTCCAGCTGCATGGCTGTGGTCTGTAAATAGTCGTGTATGGAGCAGACAGTCCAGTGATCAACAGCATGAGCATCGATCTGCGCAACTGGGATAGGATGATATGTGTCCACCAAGTCAGCGAGCCTGACCACCCGATCCCTTTAGTTGTCAAACATTAGGTTGCTGTAGATCAATTCTTACCCGGATATTCACGGGTCAGATCAGTCAATGCCATGGACAAATATTTGAAACATAAAAGTACCTTAGGAGCGTGTTGGCCTTCACGGACTAAAAGACGCAAAACAATCTTCTGGCCCAGGTTTCTCTTGTATTGTTAGGTTACTCACCTTTCAGCTTCCCACTTTCCTCATTATGAATTCTTTGCTGCAGATCACCAATGATCTCTTCCTTTTCTTTCACAATCTCGTCCATTGCTAGCTTCGCTTGTGACTTACATGTGGTCAATTCCTTCTTGTGCTCACCACACATATGCGTGATGTCAGAATTTCTTTCTTCTAATTCCTAAGATAAGACAGAAAACACGCACATGACTGGCTTCAACTTTTAAGTACTAAGTAATTCATCTACAAAGACCACATTCTAGAATACACACTGTGTTTTCATCTATTCGATTGAATAGTTTTTCTACGTTTGCAAATCCTGCAGTGTCTTGGTACGAAAATGTTCAAATTGAAAAAAATAGTATTTTGCTTACTAAATGGCATCTTTCTGTTAACTGTTTCATAAGGACATATGTTTACTTTTCAATGGAATGAGGGCATATTAGGTTCTAAATTAAATCCTGTGATGGCACACAGAAGGTTTCCAACGGAGAAAAAGGTCCAAACACGAATACTCACTCTTTCCAGTTTAGCAATATGTTTATCTTTTCCGTCTATTAATGCTTTGTACTTGCATTCAATCTTGTTCTTATTGACATACAACGCTGTCTCTTGTCCATCTGAAAGAAGAACACAGTAAACATGTGTGCTAACGTTTTGCCTCATTTCTTCCAGTCCACTGACACTATTTATAGTATTTATTTCCCTTTAAAGGCTTCGGGAAGTCAAAGGACACTTCACTTTCGGAGAAGAAGAATGTCAGAGGAAAAGGCGTCACATAACCAAACAATGACTTAACTGACAACGTTTAAGCTTGACAAATTGAAAGCTATATAGAGAAGCTATACCAGAGGTTTCTGTAAAACCAGGGTTTTGTATCAAAGTCAACATGCCGCGAGAAGACACAAATGACTAATTCATTCAACGAAAACAGTTGTACACTTGCTCACAACAGGCAAATGATACACAAATTAGACTACATGTTATGCTATGGATAAATAATGTTCATAGTGCACAGATGGCAATGCAGACATAGCAAAAGTACAGAAAGCAGTTGCGTTGAGTGAGGTGCCACTGCCTTGTCTAACTGATTGTCCAACCAACCATTTTACCACAGAGGTCGGAGCAAACAGATTTCAATACATACGCAGGTCATTTTCGCCATAAATTGATCCAGCGGTGGGAGTAAACGTATTTCGTTAACTTTGTGTGGGAGGTTCGACAAGGAAGTAATTTCCACCCTACTTATTGAAATGGGCTATATCTGTTTAGTGACACAGAGCTGGGGTTTAGGCTTTCCCAGTGATAACCAATGCAATCTTTATTTAGTTTCTGTTATATACAGTGGCGCAGGAAACTATATACGCTCCAACAACATCCGTGGAAATTTTATGTAGTTATAAAATTCATATCTGTGAACAATATAGTGAAACTATACAAGCGCCGTACAATATAAAGACAATGTTTGTATGTATGTATGTATGTATGTATGTATGTATGTATGTATGTATGTATGTATGTATGTATGTATGTATGTATGTATGTATGTATGTATGTATGTATGTATGTATGTATGTATGTATGTATGTATGTATGTATGTGTGTGTGTGTGTGTGTGTATGTATGTGTGTATGTATTTGTGTGTATACATGTATGTATGTGTGTGTATGTATGTATTTGTGTGTATGCATGTATGTATGCGTGTGTGTGTGTATGTACGTATGTATTTGTGTGTATACATGTATGTATGTGTGTGTATGTATGTATTTGTGTGTATGCATGTATGTATGCGCGCGCGTGTGTGTGTGTGTGTGTGTGTGTGTGTGTGTGTGTGTGTTTTAGCTTCTTTCGATGTGAACATTATACCCATGGAGTCACAAGAAATTATTTCAAGAGATTAAGGCGAGCCTTTTGGACAGTGTTTCGAACAAGCGATTGAATATGTAGACAAAATATGACATCATACATCTTCAACTGATCACCAGCATAAGAATCGCTAAATGCAAATGGGCAAATATAGGAAATAAATTACACTTAATCATTATTTTATTTTGAATAATATTATATATTTTCACGACACAACCTTCCTCTATATATCCTTATTCGTGTATCAGTGTAAAGGTTTTTCCCACTTATTCTTCCTTGAATGACTGTTTCATATCCGCATAATCGCTTTTACTGATCCTGGTTCGCTGCGAACGATACTGTTATAATATGCGACTCATTGTCTATGTTATAGTCCAATTGCAGCGTGTCTCCGTACTGAGAGCATTGACTAGTACATGGTACAAATATTTACGGGTTAAATGACACAAATAGGACTGACGAACAGCTGGATGTTTACTCAAGTTTCTTCCTGGATGTTACGATCGCGAAATCGTGAATACCGCATTTCCTCTAATAAGCGCCGGGCCTCTAAAAAGCACCGGGGTTAAAGCAGCTGTTACGAAATATGCGCCGGGTACGTTTTATATACATGTATTCTCCCTTGATCCAAAACCTTATTTATTAAGGACTGGTCCCTTTAGTCATAACGTCCTGTCCTACACTTGTGTAAGGCAATGACCAAGGCAATAAGCGCAGGGCCTTGTCAACAAAGGACAGTAAAAACTAAGCTATCACAGATCTACACTTAAAACTGGCCTGTCACCTTAAAACTGTATATGTGTTTCCATGCTATTGTAGACGAAATAACAACGAGCTATAGATCGCCAGCAGCTAAAGGTACATCACCACACTGGAGACCATGTAGACTTACAGTACTATATATATAGATCGCCAGCAACTAAAGATACATCACCACACTGGAGACCATGTAGACTTACAGTACTATATATATAGATCGCCAGCAACTAAAGATACATCACCACACTGGAGACCATGTAGACTTACAGTACTATATATATATAGATCGCCAGCAACTAAAGGTACATCACCACACTGGAGACCATGTAGACTTACAGTACTATATATATAGATCGCCAGCAACTAAAGATACATCACCACACTGGAGACCATGTAGACTTACAGTACTATATATATAGATCGCCAGCAACTAAAGGTACATCACCACACTGGAGACCATGTAGACTTACAGTACTATATATATAGATCGCCAGTAACTAAAGGTACATCACCACACTGGAGACAATGTAGACTTACAGTACTATAGATATAGATCGCCAGCAACTAAAGGTACATCACCACACTGGAGACCATGTAGACCTACAGTACTATATATATAGATCGCCAGCAACTAAAGATACATCACCACACTGGAGACCATGTAGACCTACAGTACTATATATATAGATCGCCAGCAACTAAAGATACATCACCACACTGGAGACCATGTAGACCTACAGTACTATATATATAGATCGCCAGCAACTAAAGATACATCACCACACTGGAGACCATGTAGACTTACAGTACTATATATATAGATCGCCAGCAACTAAAGGTGCATCACCACACTGGAGACCATGTAGACTTACAGTACTATATATATAGATCGCCAGCAACTAAAGGTACATCACCACACTGGAGACCATGTAGACTTACAGTACTATATATATAGATCGCCAGCAACTAAAGATACATCACCACACTGGAGACCATGTAGACTTACAGTACTATATATATAGATCGCCAGCAACTAAAGGTACATCACCACACTGGAGACCATGTAGACTTACAGTACTATATATATAGATCGCCAGCAACTAAAGATACATCACCACACTGGAGACCATGTAGACTTACAGTACTATATATATATAGATCGCCAGCAACTAAAGGTACATCACCACACTGGAGACCATGTAGACTTACAGTACTATATATATAGATCGCCAGCAACTAAAGATACATCACCACACTGGAGACCATGTAGACTTACAGTACTATATATATAGATCGCCAGCAACTAAAGGTACATCACCACACTGGAGACCATGTAGACTTACAGTACTATATATATAGATCGCCAGTAACTAAAGGTACATCACCACACTGGAGACAATGTAGACTTACAGTACTATAGATATAGATCGCCAGCAACTAAAGGTACATCACCACACTGGAGACCATGTAGACCTACAGTACTATATATATAGATCGCCAGCAACTAAAGGTACATCACCACACTGGAGACCATGTAGACCTACAGTACTATATATATAGATCGCCAGCAACTAAAGATACATCACCACACTGGAGACCATGTAGACCTACAGTACTATATATATAGATCGCCAGCAACTAAAGATACATCACCACACTGGAGACCATGTAGACTTACAGTACTATATATATAGATCGCCAGCAACTAAAGGTGCATCACCACACTGGAGACCATGTAGACTTACAGTACTATATATATAGATCGCCAGCAACTAAAGGTACATCACCACACTGGAGACCATGTAGACTTACAGTACTATATATATAGATCGCCAGCAACTAAAGATACATCACCACACTGGAGACCATGTAGACTTACAGTACTATATATATAGATCGCCAGCAACTAAAGGTACATCACCACACTGGAGACCATGTAGACTTACAGTACTATATATATAGATCGCCAGCAACTAAAGATACATCACCACACTGGAGACCATGTAGACTTACAGTACTATATATATATAGATCGCCAGCAACTAAAGGTACATCACCACACTGGAGACCATGTAGACTTACAGTACTATATATATAGATCGCCAGCAACTAAAGATACATCACCACACTGGAGACCATGTAGACTTACAGTACTATATATATATAGATCGCCAGCAACTAAAGGTACATCACCACACTGGAGACCATGTAGACTTACAGTACTATATATATAGATCGCCAGTAACTAAAGGTACATCACCACACTGGAGACAATGTAGACTTACAGTACTATATATATAGATCGCCAGCAACTAAAGGTACATCACCACACTGGAGACCATGTAGACCTACAGTACTATATATATAGATCGCCAGCAACTAAAGGTACATCACCACACTGGAGACCATGTAGACCTACAGTACTATATATATAGATCGCCAGCAACTAAAGATACATCACCACACTGGAGACCATGTAGACCTACAGTACTATATATATAGATCGCCAGCAACTAAAGATACATCACCACACTGGAGACCATGTAGACTTACAGTACTATATATATAGATCGCCAGCAACTAAAGGTACATCACCACACTGGAGACCATGTAGACTTACAGTACTATATATATAGATCGCCAGCAACTAAAGGTACATCACCACACTGGAGACCATGTAGACTTACAGTACTATATATATAGATCGCCAGCAACTAAAGATACATCACCACACTGGAGACCATGTAGACTTACAGTACTATATATATAGATCGCCAGCAACTAAAGGTACATCACCACACTGGAGACAATGTAGACTTACAGTACTATATATATAGATCGCCAGCAACTAAAGGTACATCACCACACTGGAGACCATGTAGACCTACAGTACTATATATATAGATCGCCAGCAACTAAAGATACATCACCACACTGGAGACCATGTAGACCTACAGTACTATATATATAGATCGCCAGCAACTAAAGATACATC